ATGCCGTTGGATAAGCTGCTGTTTCATGGTCATCTGAGAAAGGAAATCAGGAAATGGTTTGATGAGTGAAGTAAATGTAGCTAGAATATTTTCTTATATGATCTTTTGAGAATTAATGCATGTCTTACTTCTCAACTTAATGAAATAGATTAAAAAATACACAAAATTCTCAAAACAAGCCTAGTAATTTTCCTTGGCTCATTCCAGTTGTCTATTTAACATAATGTATGATGATCTATTTGGCAGCGTGGAATTCATGAGTTTGACGTTAAGTATACGAGCTACTTCACTTACATTAAGCAATAAGATAAATTAAGCTCAACTAATCTCCTTCAAGGATTTATCCACTCAGAGATATAATCTATCAGAACCCAAATGTATCAAATAAACTAAAGATACCTAAGGATGGTGGCATTCAGGGCCTATAATATATAAGCTGTTTAAATAGAGAAATATAATAATACAGAAAGAGGGACCCGAATTATTTTGAGAAAGAGTGGCACAAAATGAAATAATCATCAAAAAATTCTATTCTCTATTGCCCTCTTGGATAAATAAAAATGGATTAATATTTCTTAAAACTTTTTTTGTTTTTTGACTGCGCAAATATAATTAATGTAATGTCATATAATATCGAATTGTCAATACATTTTCATATTAATTCTAAAGCATCTATTAATTTTATTTTAAATCCTTGCCATAAACTTTCTATTTTCAGCCTCTCTTAATTAATCCATTGAAATAGTGAAATATATATTTAAGCCATGTAAGCACAGAGCAGATAATCCATCCCTAAATACAAACTGAAGTTTTGCTGAACAGTATGAAGGCGCTAGAATAAAAAAATATAAAAGCGAAATAAGGCCAGTAATATAAATTTGTCCAAGAGCCGTAAACAGACATATAGATTAGATTTCACGTATTTCTTGATCGAATTAATACATTTTAATGTTTGCTGAGCCTAGAAAAATGTCAACTATTTTCCATAAATCATTTCCATACTTCAAGAATAATGCTGAAAAACGAGGCTTAAGGAAATGCGCAAGCTAGATAGTTTGAAGATGAGAATTTGAGATGCCTTTAAGCAAGCAAATGAAATAATAAAATTTCTTTGTCGGTTTACATTCGAAATGTATCAATAATATAAAATTATTATTGGCGTATTAGACGAACATTAAGCTAATTGTATTTGCCAGTCCAAAATTTAAATAGTCTGCTAAATAGGTAGATAAGTAAGATAAACTTTTCACTGGTGAGCCAGCTTGATCTTTCTTTAAACAAGGCCTTAGTGAGGATACGCCAAACGTGAATAGATTATAAGTAAACCCTTTTTTTACTAATCGAATCTGCAACTAAATTCACAGTGTAAAAAGGTTATGCTAGTTCATAGAGTCTATGAATTGCTTTCTTAGAATATGATAAAGGTAAAATATATGCCACTCAAGTTGATCACAAAGTTTAGCGACCAGAAAACTCCTTAACTCACTCTAGTTTGATTGATTCTACGGATGAACAAGAGTAATGGCTGCGATTGGTCTGGGGCCCCATTGTCTGGCCATGCTGTGAATTGAAAGTGCCGGATTTCACGGACCTCAGATACAGATACCAAACCATCAGGGCCACCATGCAGCGTATCCATTATTCTGGGAGATACGCCGTTCAATTGACATGATTCAGTTTGAAGGTCAGAATGTTTGCTTTGACGATGATAATTATCGTAGCCCTGCTGCTGCTTGACTGAGCAACTGCGTAGCTGACAACCATTTGCTAGCCCACCGGTTCGGCGATCCACAGTGCCTGCTAATCCCATCTTTTGTAAGTGAAACGTGCGCATTGTGTAGTATGCATAGTTAACCGAATCAACGAGGGTAACAGTGAGCGCGAGACAATCGTGCTGTGGCCTCAGTCCAGGTTGTTGTCCGACTGAATGCTTGGTTTTGCCTTCATCGAGTGGATGCTGAAGATGATTTGGATGACCTTTGTTAATTGGGTACTGAATATTGCTATTTGGAAGGAGTGGATAGGTGTCAGTTCCACGGGTTGGCCAGTATTGGTCGCACTTAATGCGTGATCGCTCTTCAAGGCGAGTCATCATCACAATTATTCGAGTATTCTGTTCCCAGATCATGCGCCAAAAGTCACCGAAGGTTTCGGGAAGTGGACCCTAATAATAAAAGCATAAAAGCCCATAAAAATAATAAGAATAAACGGTTTCAGAAGTATCTTAAGATATTTAATTTTTAAGCTGCATTTAATTTTGTGTGAAAGTGTATGATGAAAAGGTTCTTAGATCGTCTTGACCAAATCATCAAAGAGGATCCTTATGGTTGATTTTACTTAAATTTTTATGCTGAGGCAATACTCGAGACATTCTTCTCTGGCTACATTGTAAAGGTTTTGAGCCTTAGTCTCAGTCACATTTTCTTGATCCATAAGCTTAAATCTTTTATATGAACGTGCCCCAGATATATCCAGACAAACATAGATCAGCATTTACCTTATATGCGCTTCATTGTTCTTGATCCAAACAGATAAAACTTTATAAATTTAGAAGAGTTTTTGGTGAAAAATTTATCAGGTTCTGTTACCCTTTTAAATATATATCTTTCTCATATAAATTTTGAATTTTTATTTAGGAAGTATTTATTACGAATTTAAACCATACAATTTAAGACCTTCTAAAGCTATTGGAAATGCCCCTTAGATAATGGGTGATGTAATCGTATAGTAGGCATTAATAAAATATGAATAAAGTATACTAGCATACAAATAATGGTTTTCCTACAAATCGGAATATTTTAAAAGCATTAAACTACGTTATTGGAAGGAAAGTAAAGAAAGAATGCCCATTTTAGTTATAAGTCTCATTAAAATAAACTTTATTGGTAATTATAAATACAGGTAACTGCAAAAATCCTTTAGGAATAAGGATGTGTTATCACTGTGTTATCATTGTGGCAATTGAAAATTGCAGAAATGAAAAGCAGATGAGTTTAAGCCCATCAGTTTATAAAAGCATGTTTTCATATCTTGCATTCTGTCGGAAAGATCGGGTGGTAAGGATACCAACAAATGACCTCAAAGAAGATTCTTGCAGGATTTCGACTTTAGCTTTTTGCGTACATATTCGGAATCACGATGAATACCTGCTGAGCTCACACTCATGAGAAACTATTTTAGAACGTGGATAGGAGGAATGATTATGTGAAATTGATCCTATACGTACTTTGGCTGTTGGATAAGGTTAAGTCTAAAGAGGGAGAGGGAGGAAGAAAGAAGTACCGCCGATCAGAATTAGGAGGTATGAGGACCAAGATTACATGGTCTCTATTTTGGTCGCGATCTTCCTGGTTATATAGAAGTAGTTTGATCAGGTTTTCGCAGTTTGCCGTCAGAGTGACCCAGGTGAACGAGTCTTGTAAAATTTGTGACAGATATTAAGAAGATGAAACATCCAGGTGATCACGAAAGAAAAGAAAACACTCTTGTGGACCCTGTCAACGCACTGCAAGATGGGATAACCGGATTACTTGCTAATATTTTTAAAAACTTGCAGCAACTGTCTATAGGTGGATCAAAAAGCAAAACCAGCCTCAGAATAAGTAACATTTAATGTCTTGGAAATTTATATAATTAAGGAAAGATCAAAAATAGCAGAAAACATTTCTCGGGCGGGACAGAAAATCCATAGGAAGGTGCAGCAAGACTGATCACATAGTGAAGATACGATGAAACACAAGATTATAAACCATCGTTAACTGCTCAACGGAAGACTAGAAGATGACAGGATTAGCGTATTGCTTAAGCAAAATTGTAAAAGATCAGGAAGAAGCCAAGTCAGTAATAAGGAGATGACTATATTAATGAAGTAGTTTGGATAAGGAGGAAATGAATGACAAGGAAGAGGTTCAGGAGAGACAATAAGAAGTGGTACGTGAAGTTAAGGCTTGACTAATAGATGTACTCGATTTAATTTGTGTTTCATCCAGTTTCATAACCAAGGCTTCAGGGGCCTGCTCAGTGAGGCTACAGTAGTCGTATTGTCCAACGCCTAAAACAGATCATTGGAAATAACATCTCGAGAACCACAATTCTGATGGTAATAATCGAGCGAAATTACTGAGCCGGGGATGCATCTTACAGATGAGTAGGGAGACCCCGATTGGACCTGGATGAAGTAAATTGCTAGCAAAAAGAGCCAAGTTATATCAAAATTTCCATCACCTTAGGGAGTATAGGGGAAACAGCGGGGAATGTGAATAGGTCCAAAAGGTAAAAATGAGCAATTAAAAATTTGTAACAGTGAAGAGGACCATATAAGAATATGGGATAGGTAAATACACCAGGAAGGAAGAAGAGATTCTACAACTGTTCAGCTTGAAGTTGGTCAAGGCATGGATTTCACTTGTCCCTTTAAATTGCAGTAGTTTGACACTGGGGC